TTTTCAAGTTTTATATGCCACGCTGCTCTCTCTCTCTCTCTCTCTCTCTCTCTCTCTCTCTCTCTCTCTCTCTTACTGGCTTTCTCGCGTGCTCGGCGCGGCTGCACTCTTCGCCCGTAGGTCTCGAGTTAGAGTTCGGAAATAAGTTTTTTGTCGTCGTCGTTGTGGCAGCGGATCACGAGAGCTCGTGAATTTATACATATACGTAATAATATGATCGAATCGCGCGCGGGGACCGCCAAAGTTTTTCGTAGAATATATACGCGCGCTTTATACTCAAGGGTCAACTATATGTACGAGGACGAAAAGAGATGCAAAAGCTCGCGAGGATCTTAAAAACGGTAATCGTTCGAAATTTTTCACTCGCGCAAGTGGCAAAAGAAACGAATACAGTACGACGTTCTCCGTCGAAAAATGATCTTATACCTTCGCTCGCATAATAATTCAGCGGAACCGCGCGCAAAAAGCCATTCCGTACAATTAACAACGCAGGTAACAAAGTTTTCCCTTCGCGCGTCCAGCTATATATGTACAAGCTGTCCAACTTTCGCTTCCTATATATATTTTTCTCTTTCTCTTTTTTTCTTCCAGATCCGCGCCTCGTATTAGATATATATCGTACGTATATACAATAATAATATCGCGTCGCTGCGCGCGTGCACAACTCCGCAGTCGCAATAATAACCAATGCCGCCGCGGCTCGCTCGGTCCTGCGAGCTTTGCACGCTCTTTAATAAATAATATTACGATATATATACGTATACATCCACCCGGCGAAACAACAAAAATAATAACAACGATAACGTATGCGCTTTTAGGGGTCGCGCTGCAGCTACGTCGCACCGAGTCGGAGAAAAAATATCACGCGGAAAGAAAGACAAACTTTTTTAATATACCTGTTCGCGGATTCTCTCCCCCTCTCTCTCTCTCTTTCGCGTCCCTTCGTGCAATTACGCACCTTATAACTTTTGTCTCTCCGCTATGTAGGCTATATAGAGGCGGGTATATAATATATCGTACGTAATAATACGCGGAAGGTGAGCGCTCTTAATCCTCGATGTATTTTCTTCTTTTCTTCCTTGTACGAACGCCCAGGACGATTACACGAAAAAGACGCGTTATATAATATATATATATCGATAAAAGCCAAATTACCAAAGCCGCAGTGGTGTACCCCCGAACGCTGCATCGTAATGATACGCGATCGCACGAAGCTTATAGCCAATGCGAGCTTTTTAATAACGGCATAAATAATGCAAAGATCGGCTTCGACACACACACACACACACATATACACACGGCATAGGTAGATAGATGCATAACGTTGGTATATATAGGTACGTATGTATAATACGGCTACGTATACACGCAAGCCTCGCGCGCGCCGCACAAAGACAAAACACAGAGAGAGAGAGAGAGGGGCTCTCCTTCTCGCTCGCTCGGCTACATGCACTCGCGCGAGACGTATAATAAGTGCATGGCTCTCTCTGTCTCTCTCTGTATAATATGTATATAGCTATATGTACGTATATATGTATAATCCAGGTGTGTGCAGCGCGCAGCAAACGGCAACGGCGTGGCGCCCCTCTTTCGCCGCACTGGCTCTCTCCCTCCCTCCACAACACGGGAGGAAGATAGCGCACGTATATAGCGCATTGCAAGTATGCACTCGAATGTACGCATACATCGGCGGACACATACACGTATATGTATATGTGTGTGTGTGTGTGTGTGTGTATGCACGGAGTAACGAAGCGGCAGCGGCAACGAGTGCATCGTTCTCTCTCTCGCTCGTTGCGCGAAAAACGGGGGGGGCAATACCTCCTCTCCTCTCTCGCACGTCCTTCTCCTCTCTGCCGCTGCTTTTTGCATCGTTCCGTTTCGCTCTCGCGCACGCTATAGCCCATGGTATAGTGTACTTCGTGGATGTATATGCAGCGGTGAGCCTGTATATATGTATGTATTTCTGCGCGATCGTTGCGCTCTCCTCAACCACCACCACCACCACCGTCGTCGTCGCCACTACCACACTGACACAAGCGCACAAGCGCACACACACACACACACACATACACACACGTATACGGGCACTGTGCACAGCGCCGTATTATGATCCAAGAGCGCTCCTCTCTTTGGCAGTCTATCGGCAACCTGCGCACCAGCCGCGTCGCAGTTAGTCACATATTTATATATATTTTTTATATAGTCATTTGTTATACATATATACCTCCTATATACGTGCACACGTTTACACATATACATATACACGTACATATACGTACTCTCGTACGCGATATTTTGCCCAAGGCTTCGTATACGCGTATGAGAGACACCTGTCATCGACTCCGATTGTCCATTTAATTTTGACGTTCGACTCCTCTTTCCATCCGCATACACACTCGTACACGGCGTATATACAGGAAGTAACACACACACACACACACACACACATATACATATCCTTCTCGCCAACTACCCTCCACCTCCTCCCGCTGCCGTATACTCCTCTTTTCCTCCTCCATAGCTGTGCCTGCTGCGGCTTGCTGTACTCTCTCTCTCGGCAAAGTCCGTGCACGCACGCGTTATCACACACACACACACACATACAGATACACGTACACGACGCGGACATCCACATACGAGCAGCCGGCTTTTTTCGATTTTCCGAGATCGGAGAAAGCAACGGAAAAGTTAAATAGGGAAAAAGGCTGTGCTGCGCGCGGCCTCGTATGAAAAAAAGAAAAAAAAACCATCGCACTACTTACTCGCGTTCCGTGCGTGTGCGCGTGTGTATCGGTGGTGAAAAAAAAACGACACGAGTGTGCTCATAATTTTTTGTTTCCAGATCTATTATTATAAAATATCAGTGCGTAATTACTATACTTTGGCGACGATTAACAACACAACGGCCACAACAACAACAGCGTAGCGGCAACGATAAAAAAAAATAAATAAATAACAACAGCAACAACGATACAACTACGGTCAAGACCAACGAGAGACGGTAGTGCGTGCAGTTATATATACACACAAAAATAATAAAGAAGGAAAGAGAAGAAAAAATTAAAGAGAAAGAGATACTTCGATCCGATAAAGTTCAATTATACATGCATGTGAAATAATCGATTTCGAGCCTCGAGACTCCACGTAGTGCAGTATATATACATGTAGCAGAGTTGCCTCCCCGACTGAAAGTAATAAATATAGTATATATATAGATTCATATATATCAGAGGGTGAATTTACTGAAAAAAAAAGGAAAGTCGTTTTGTTTATACGCGTCTACTGTACCGAGTAGACGAGAAGAAAAAAGTATTATTATAAGTATATGGTCGACGAGCAGTTCGCAACTACATAACGTCCAATTAATCTAATCATCCTATATATCATCGACACGCATGTGCATCTGTGCCAGCAGCAGCAGCAGACACTCTCAAGTCGACGTCCAAATCTTCGGTTCCTGACAGACACACACACCAATGTGTATGCGTGAAATAATATTCGCAATAAATACATAATCGAGCTACTACCGACGAGCGTGCGCGAAAAAAGTGACGGAAAAATTTCGACCTGCTTCATCAGCACATACACACGTCGAGCGAGATTTTCTGCTCGTCTGCTGCAAGCTCGCGGCAGCGCGTATAACAAAACTTACGCACACAGACACATCCACGCACAGGCAGTCAGTGTCTGCGCTTGCGAGGGAGAGCGCTCGAACGCGCTGCGGCAACGCCTATACGTATATACACCGTCGATCGACGCTCGTCGCTCGTGTTGGTGCGGAGCGTATATACGTGCTCGCGCGTGTGTGTGTGTGGGTGCGCGCGCGTGCCCCAACTCGAGCGAGGCAGTGTGTATATGTGCGCGTGGAGTCCTCGGTCTCCTAGACGACGGAACGACGACGACGACGGCGGCGACTATATACTGCAAGCACAGCAGCAGCAGCTTGTGTGTCTGTGCGCGTACGTGTGATACAGAGAGTGCGAGTGCAGCAGCGGCAGCGGCAGTCGTCGTTGCGCGTTTGCGAGAGTGGTTAGTCGCGCTTGCGCCCGACCAGAGCGAGCTAGACGCAGCACTACTGCACCTGCCCCGATATAACACCGCACCACACGGAGCTCCTATATAGATATATATATAGATACGTAGGTGCAGCAGCGCAGGTGAAATCGTCCACAGAGAGATAGATAGAGATAGAGAAGAGAGCTTGCGAGCTTTTGATTTTTTTTTCATCGAAGGAAAAAAGCTCGCTCGAGGACAGCGTGTACGAGCTTTTGCGATACACGCACGATATATAATATAGAATATATGTGAAAGCAACGTGTGTGTTCGGTGCGCGACGACACGACTTGCGAAAAGCGCCAGGCGGCGTTGCCTTATCGATTGGCGCCCTGCGCTCTCGTACACCCTCGTCTACCTACCTACGTAGTTCTGCAGTCTCTCTGTGTGTCTCTGTGTTCGTGCTCGTGTGCGTGTCTGTGTGTGCGTTAGCCGCGTGGGAAACATCGGCGAGAGAGGCGCAGCAGCAGCAGCACCTGGCTCCCTCCGTAAATTATTCTCTACCCTGCGCTGCGCTGCGCTGAGCGTCGTTGCTACCTCAGCTTATACACACTCGCTGCCCCCGCGTCGTATCGTCGTTAGCCAGGCGGCACAGGCAGTCAGGCAGGCAGGCAGTAGTAATCAGCCCATCCACCTGTCTCCACCGATCTCTTATATTTTTTTTTTTTGGGTTTTTGGTGTGCCAACGGAAAAAAAAGTGTGCAAAGTTCGAATGTATACGGTGCGTCGACCAAGTGCAGATCGCCGAGTAGTAGTGTGCTCAATCGTCAGTGCTCGTAATAATAATAATAATAATAATAATTGTACCATCGGTGCCCGTCGTTGCTGCTGATCCGCAGGTGACGACGACGACGATGATCTAGTGCTCTCTCACACACACACTCACCCAAGTATATGAGTTACTACTTGGCGTCCTGGTCGAGAGTCTCGGCGAGCAGTAGTAGCGGCAGTGCCACTGTCGCGGGCGAAGAAGGAGGCGATATTTGATTTTAATCCTCGTGGAAGCTGACGACGCTCGGTCGGTGGCAAAGGTTAGAGCGCTGGAGCAGCGGAGGTCGGCACTATTGGAAGCGCACCTGGAGTCGTCGCGCCGTGACTGGCTCGTCGCGGCCAGGCACCACCAGCAGCAGCAGCAGCAGCAACAACAGCAGCAGCAGCAACAGCAACACTTCCAGCAGCAATTCCAGCAACAACAGCAGCAATATCAGCATCAGCAGCAACAACAAGCGGCTGCGGCGGCGGCTCTGTTCTCACGTAGACACCTACCAGTGACGGCCAACGAGCTTCAGCTCGCGGCGGAGCTGGAGAGGTCGGTGCACCCGGCCCAGCAGCAGCGGCTAACGGCCAACTCGGTGCAGGCGATCTTGGCTGCCGCTGCTGCGGCGGCGGCCGCCGCGGCCAGGGGCCCAGCAGCAGCAGCTGCAGCAGCAGCCAGCGGCGCGGCTGTCATCGCGGCCCAACAGCAACAGCAGCAACAGCAGCAGCAACAACAACAGCAGCAGGCGGTGGTGGGCCTGGAGCAGGTCTCGACAACAGGCATACTGCCGCAGGCGGCGGCAGCGCGTCTGGCCGGGGGCCCCGTGGCTGCGGCCGGCTTGGCAGCCACTACCACGGCCATAGCCCCGCCGGCGCTCAAGAGGGCCAGGCGCGACGACGGCCAGCTATCGGTCGGTCAGATAGCCCAGCAGCAGCAACTGCAAGCCCAGCTACAGCAGCACCTGCAGCAGGTGCAGCAGCAGCAACAGGCCGAAGCTCTGGAACAGGCAGCCGAGGCTCTGCAGCAGCAGCAGCAGCAGCAGCAGCATCATCACCAGGCATCGCCACCGCTCGGCTCGACGGCCAGCAGTAGCGGCAGCGGCAGCGTCGTCGTAACCACGCAGCAGACTCAGGCAGGCAACGGTGCTTCCGCCTGTCTACCTCAGCAAGCTCAAGTGGTCACGAGTACAGCTGCGACGGATCAGCAGCAGCAGCAGCAGCAAATAGCTGCGGCGGTGCACGCGGCCGCCCACGCGGCAGCAGCCGTAGCGGCCAGCAACAGCACGCCGACGGGCGTAGGAGGAGGAGGAGGAGGCGGAGGCGGAATCATGGACGCACCGCTGTCACAGAGCATGGACTCGGTCAACACAGTGGCCACCTGCGAGGACGAGGTTAGTGGAGCTTGCATTACCTAATACATAGCAAATCAATCGTCCCCTATAAGATGTACATGTATTATCCTCCTTCTATTTAGACACCCGAAGATGAGTTTTTTTCCCATGGATATACCGATCCGAAAAATCGGTTGTACGATCGCGAATCGTTCCTCATTTCGAAGAAAACGTGTGTGTGCATAAACGCGCGACTTATCGCTTAATCGAATCTTTCGATAGAGAGAGAGCGAGCGAACGAGTGAAAACGAAGTAACGAGGCCCCCCCCCCAGCTTTGTGATTTGTGTAATTGAATAAAGCTATATAGGTATACGTACGTATTCCGTCGCGATCGTAAAATTTTCATCGGGAAAAGAGGAACGACGATGCTCGCGTCCTACATACGTAAATCGCGAATTAGAAATTGCCTTTGCCCATTACGTACCATTATCATCATTATTATATTAATATTATTGGATTGAAAGGAGCAAATCGGCAAGAGATACTTGCCGTTCGTATACATGTTCTCTCGCATCTCTCCCATGCGCTCCTATACATAAAACATACACGTATACACATATATGCACGCCCGTAACACATGAAAACCTATATTCGTGGATTCGCGCGAGCATCGATCCATATCGTCATGGCGATATCGGTATTACAAGCTCGGCTCGGCGTGTACAGTGCAGGTATACATATAGAAGCGCGTTCGTCAGCCACCGCGTACGTATATAGACCCTGACTTTCTTTAAAATAATACCATACTTACTTGTACCTATGATACGTGTACGTTTGCAGTATGATGTATCGGCCGTTTCGATCGCGGCGCAGCACCAGCTCTCGGCGGCTCTTAACGCGTACGGGGAATCGATCTATCCCTCTCGATATATTCGCGCCTAAACGCGCGCGGGAAACTGCTGTATAAATTTTCCCCCGTCTACCGCGCGCGCGCGGGGTCCTCACTGAAAATTAATTGCGTATAAATCATCGCCCGAGCTCTCTCGGGTTAATACAACGGACGTGTGAGCCGCGCGAGAGAGCTGCTGCTGCGCGTACATACGATGTATATGTATAAGCCCGCAACAACGTCGTCGTCGTCGTCGACGTCGTGTGTGCGGACACGAGCTTATGGCGTTAACTCGACGCGAGCGAAGCAGGTGAACTTGTACACGTTCGGGAACTAATAAATTATATAGTGTGTGTGTTCGATCTATCCCTTCTTGTTTTTTATCTCGTTGTTGTCATTATCCGCTCTATTCCGACGTGCACGAGTTTACGCGTTGTGTGTACCGCTCGTTAATCCCGACGTCGTCTAATTAAAAATGTTTGTGTCGGTGTGCTCATCATCATCATCGTCAAGGCGTACATTACCGCGCACGTATTGTGTCACTCACTCACTCGGGACAGGTACACACACACACACACATAGACATTTACTTCCTTTGAAACTTTGCATAAGGTTTCGTTAGTGCAGCTCGGATACGTCGCGAGGATACCACTACTGCAGTCGAGCAGAGAGAAGAAAGAGAGAGAGAGATAGAGAGTGCAAAGGACGCCGGGACGACGGTGGGAGATTTAGAGTCTGTTACTTGTGCGCGAGCGCGTTTAAATGTATACGATATATATAAGAAACTTTAGCTTACAGAGTAGAGAGAGAGAGAGAGTAGTTTGCGGTCCTTCCAAGACTTTGTCAGCTTCTGCAACTCGGGAGTAAGAGAAAGAGGATAGAGATACACGTTGGTCGCGTTTAATTAGTTTAATTAATAGTTTAGCTCTATCGCTTCGTTTCTTTCTCTCTTTCTCCCTCGCGGCGGCCCCGCGACGCGCAATATCTTCTTCTCTCGCTGCCGCGTCCGCAAGGGCCAAAGTGCAGCCTCCTATATAAAGTATGGCCACGGTCGTAGACGTTTATATAAGCTGGAAAGCTCGGTGATTAAGATCCGTGGGAAATGCAGAAGAGTAGCGCGAGTGTGGGCCTGTATACATTACATCGAGTATATTATACGGACAAAAGAGGTCGAAAGAAAATCATATCCTAATGGGCGATCAATTTCTAAATCTGCACCGACCCGGTGGTCAAATATAGGAAAAAAGCTCTCGGCTCTCGACGAAGATTTTCGTTAATGCATCGTTATCAAGATGATAATTACCGTGTACAACGCGTGTATAATAGGCAAAACACATCCACCCCCGCATACAAACGTCTACATCCCCAAATACAGGTCGTATAATGTATACATGATGCGAGTATGTAGGTGTGAATGTGAAAGCGCGCACACACGGGGCGAGCTGCACTATGGCCTGATGACTCGATGGCTATCGCCACGGCCGAACGGCCGAGCTTTTTCCTCGTATCATATTTTGTATATGGTATAATATACGTAAACGTGAAAGTGCGAGCTCGCGCTTTCATCGGCTAAACAGCCCAGGCCACCCTTGAGGATGATTTTCGTTATAGTTATGCATAGGGAGTGCAGTTTTTTACGCTCGCAATCCATGTATATGTTTTTACATACAAATTATTATAATCCACTCTATTTCTGGCTCTCTTCACCTCCGCAAAAAAAAAATGCACGGCATATGCTCGATCGTTTAACTAATTGTGCGTCTCCTCTCGGCCTGTGCCTAGAAAATGCCACACACACACACACACACACAGGCATCTTAATACACCATTCCAGCCGTATATAATTCGGTCGTGTGAAATTATATACGAACGATTAAATGTGCGTACCTGTGCCTCAACGGCAGCAGCAGCAGCAGCAGCCCCCGCACTCGTCGCTCGCAATTACGAGCTTATATTATGCCGCTGTATACACGTAAGGGGGCCAATATAGAACGCTTCATCGACGAGCACTCGAGAGGCTCGAGCGCGATATATAATTAAACATTGATGAGCTCGTGTGTGTGTGTGTGTGTGTGCGTGGTGTTAGGTGTATACGTACGTGTAACAGTGGTGGGCTCTCGAGAGCCGAGAGAGAGAAGAAAAAAAAAGAAGTTTCGTTTCATGCGAAACGATAATAATAATGGTATATATACGTATAGGCAAGCGCGCGACGCTAGGATAATAGTTGCGACAATGGGTTGTTGCGCTGCTGGTGCCATGGAAAAGCCGAATATATACGCGTGTATACAACGCTTCGCGCACAATTAAAGCCATATACGAAGTAATAATGAAAAGCAGCTGCGTATGTGTATGCGTTATATATACGTGCACTTGAGACGCGCGCAAACGCCTCGGCATGTGTGTCTGTGTCTGTGCGTGTGCGTGTAAGTGCGCTCGGTGCAGCAGTGCCAAGGGTCGCCGCACGCACGGCTCGTGTTGTGTGCGGTGCAGTAGTTTTCGCACATGTATACGACACAACGAGCGCACAAAAGAAGAGAGTGAGAGAGAAGGTTGCGTATGCATTCGCACCCACACATACACACACATGCCTTCCTATATATATACGGTTATATTTATGAGGGTCTCTATCTCCCGTTGATCCAGCCACTCGCGCGGGGATTATAAAAGTATGCGAGATGCGTGCGACTGCACTTGTGCCCTGTTGTATACCTGCAACATATATACGCGAAGGCGTGTGCAAGAACCGCGTGCCGTGCCACGGGCTAAGGAAGAAAGGAGGATATAGCGCTTATCATTATCTCCCATGTTAATTTATTGCGAGAGATCGTAGATAAAGAGAGAGAGAGAAGGAGAGGCAAAGAGCGAGAAAGAGAGAGAGAGAGAGACCCACTGGCACATTTGCTTTGTTTTCAACAATAAGAGCGCAACAGTAGCAGTGCTTTTGCGCGCGCGCTGCAGGTGTGCCACCTACGCGCATACACAGAGAGACACACATTTCTATATAAAATACGAAGGCTTTTACGATGCGAGTGCACGACAATTTGTTCCTCTCTGTCTCCGTGTTGGTGTCCCCGTGCCTACATGCAATGCCCTACTGGAGCTGTTTAGCGTTCGGCTGTAATGTCGCCTCATTTTTTTCTTCCTCCTCTCGGATACTTTACGAGGGCTAGAATTTTTTTTCTTCTTTTCCTTTTATTTCGTCAATGAGGCGCGAAGCGCACGTGTCGTTGAACGGATGACCTTTTGCGTTGCATCTCGGTGTATAACTCGTAAAAATAACAGGTGGTTATGCGCGTTTCAGGGCTGTTTATAGTTGGGTGTGGTTTTTTGTTTCTAATCATCGTAACGACACTCGTGGAAAAGGCTACCGCGAGCTTTTTTTTATTTTTTATTTTTTTCGAGAAAAGCCTGTCGCCGCACGCGCGCGCGCGCAAGAGAGATGCAGAGATATAGAGGCGCCTATACGGAGTAAGAGACAGCGCAGCGATGGTGTAGCAGCAGCGCAACGAGCTCGTTAAAGTTTCGAAGGCGTAACGAGTTTTGTCGTTGTCGTTTCTGCACGCTACTTTCCTAATAATATATCTTAGACTGCAAGAGAGAGAGAGAGAGAGAGTAAGGTAGCTCTCTCTCTGGCATTGCTCTAATGCGCAAAAGTACAAGCTAACTGCCGCGCGTCGTGTGCATTAGCGTTCGCAAGCCACCCAGGGTTCCTTCGTTTCTTTTTTATTTCTACTCTTCTTCAACCCCTCCTCTTCTCGGAAAAAAGGCAATATTACGTTATATGTATACGTATTCACGCAACGAGTGTCTCCTTTTTACCCTCCGCCCTGCAGCGGCAGCAGCAGCAGCACTTGCACTCTCGGGCGTTGCGCAAATTATTCCGAATCGTACGTATATATACGCGCGCAAATCTCGCGCAAAAAAATATATATATATATATATATGGCACGGCGGCCAAATCGAAGGAGAAAAAACGAGAAAGAGGTGGTGTGCGCACGGAGCAGCAGCAGCAGAGGAAAGCCTCCGAATCATCACGTATATTATAATATTTGCTCCGACACGAAGCTCGTTACCTGTCGTCGTGTTATACGCAGTCGACTCGTGTTTTTTTTCTCAACTCGAGCTGTACTATACGAGCTTATATAAAATTGCCTCCGACGCGTCCGCGCG